TATATCTGTGTTGGAGGCACTTCTCAGTTTAGGGAAGGTGTGAGGCTTAATGGTCATAATAATGTCACTTTCCCATGTCCAACGGCTCGCTGAACGTGCGCAACCCGCGGTGAAGCGTCTTAAAGATTATTATTGCCTCAGTAAATGTGTGTATACGGACTGGCAATTCCGGTTGCACTTAATGTCGCTCTACCAGGAACAAGAGTATGGCCTGGACAGAAATGGGCGACGTACTTATCAGCTGCGTCGACAAATACAAATCGTGTTCGCTGGAAAAACTGATTGAAGTGCTACCAGATTTGAGAAGGCACTACTCACAACAGTCGCTTAAATATACTACACACGCTCGCGAAGCCTGATGTAAAGGGAGAGGGACATTCTCGACTTGAAGTGACGAGGAACAGCTAACTTGAACGCAAATTTGCACAAGAATTAAATGAGTGAATGGCTCCTGAGACCCCAAAGGTTTCAAGAGGTTTGACTAATAAATTATTTGTTTCTATAAAATTTGATTTGTATGTACTGAAGTTGAGCCTCAGCTTGAACGTATACAATCTCCTATGAATATATAGATTGAATCTTGAAAAGCTTCAGACCTTTAGGTTCCTATTGAACTGATTTATACAATTTAGGGTATACGAAGGTTATAACTGTACTTGAACTTATACAAGATATTGGGTGTTCGGAGCCTGACGAAAGCTCGACCTCAAACATTCTGTGGAAAGTTGCCAGCAAATTGACAAGCTTACGCTTTCCAATTCGAAAGACAGAACTACGTTGGGCTCGTCACCATTGCAAGCTCCCACGTACCTACCAGCATTCTGTATCAGACAGTATGCTTTTGACTTTATATAAATGTCACGTGTGTATGTGAGAATACCATACTGTGATCGCATCGTTTTTAATGCCTACAATGCACGCAGAAGTAACAGATAAACATCAATGTTATGGCTAAGTATAGCCCATTACATTATGTGTATTTGATCTGCTGGATTCCATCTACAATCAGAATAAAAGTTGCACCTTAAATTTCTTTCACAGCAGCGCCTTTAAGTGAAACAGACTAAGCGGTGGTCTTAAAAGGCAATGAGATTCCTTATATCTTCAAAACTATCATGCATTGTTATGACGACCGACTGTCAAAATTAACAGACAGTACGCGGACACATTGAAGTTGACAGATGCAGTCGAAGCTTATATGATGCAACAGGTAAAGTTTGAGGGCTTTGACATTGTAAAATGTTGCGAAATCTTCAAGTAAAGCTCAAGATCTCTGACAGTGTGAAACTTTGTCTCGTGCTGGTCTTGGATTTAAGATACGGTTTATCCTAGGTATATCGTGGCTAGAACTCATGAGCAATAAATCGCTGTTCTGAGGTTGTATATTCGACAATTCCACGCTGCTATATAATTTCTGAACCGCAAAAAGAATCAGTAAAATATCCATTATTTTATTGCGGCTTGCATGCCTCGCGTTTATCGAATTGTATGCAGTTGCGATGTAGTCCAAACGTCTGAGTAGTGATGGTTTGCTATACGACGAAGTCAAGAGCAGGCTATCTTTCCAGATTGCCTCGGAAAAGACACCCCAAATGGACCGCATGCCTTATATCACTGAGATTTTCTACGGTATGCTACCATAACCACAGGTCATAATCGCATAGCTATAGTGACTCATATTCAGTCTTAAGATATTTCTTTTCCTTACCGATTACCTTCTGGCCATCAGAAGGCTTACCAAATTCAAAGAGTTTCTTGTGTAGATCAGGTATCGGACGGTTTGCATGGAATATAGATCCTGGAGCATTTATACTGCTTAACAACAGGTGCCCTCATGTTGCATTATATAAGCTTGCGAGTCCAGTCGCTCAACACAGCGCTTCAATTATGCATAGTTTTTATATTTATAGATGATTCTGATCGTTATATACAACACAAATGATTCGCGTATCACCCTTCTGGTATTCTTTTTGTTCTTCTCAATCAATATGCGACGTTCAAATGGACTATTCTGAAACAGACACTCGTTGCGGAGTTTAGGTACAAGAACTGCCCCATGTACCGTCCGGCTAATACAATCGCGCGTTTGTATCACTGTGTAAATGTCCTTGTTTGTTGGGTTATTAGGCTCCGAACATTCGCGAATGATTAAACTATCAGATAATGCGGATTTCGACGGATAAATAAGAGACAACAGCTGAAATTTATAAGCAATAATTTGTGAAAGGAGACGATATGAAGATATCTCTCGATGCAACTAAATTTTGTCAACTTGAAGTCGATGCGAAACTGAGGTGGCAGAATGCGGTAGAAGAGCTGATCGCCTCCTTTGAGATTCAAGTCACTGATTAGGACATGTTGAGCAAAACTTATGCAATGACTAAATATTGCGTTTACTGGGACGCCGTCTCTTGGTAACCGAGAGTCTGAGTTTGTGAAATTGCTCAAGCATGATTATCTTTCTCACGACTCAACAGATTAAAACTCCCACTGCAACTGCTGCTCAGCGCCCCAATTTTGAAAAGGGTCGGATGATCTTGGAGTTGTTGTTGAGATGACGCTGCTCAATACTATCGAAATAGACAATCTCGCAGCTGTATGTCGATTCAGTAGGCAAACTCAGACTGACTCGTTGATCAAGGTGTGGTGGCTACATTTTCTCGAATCAGGGGTTGGTCTGCTCAAGCACAATTTTTTTTTTACATTTTCGGTATTCTGTTCTGGATTTCTAACCGCATCGTACCCCCTGACCAAACCGGGCTTTATCCCGGCGGAGTAATTGCAAATATATTAACCGGGGCGAATTACGACGGCATGACCACGGCGACGTCGGATGAAGGCATAATAGCATACTGAACACTCATACTCCAGTGTTCACCTAAAATATCATCGGGTTAACAGCCGCACATAAATGACTCTGGTGCAGGATCTATGTCATACCCCTCAAGGATGAGTACGATATTACGGAGACGTGGCTTGTCAATGACGCCAAAGCATAAGATATTATGATGCAAGGTGGTGAAAATGAGGCGTCAGACCAAATTATAGTCGTCCACCAGCGTCGTGAATACATCTTAGATTTTCTTGCAGATGCTTGAGACTTCAAAAAACGCGCGACACTTAAAAACGCGCGACGATGCCGTGTTGACTTCAAGGCTCTCAGATGGAGACTGTTGTTAGTTGGCTGTGAGTTTGGGATCGTTTGACGAGCTGGTGGCGGAGCTCTAGACAATGCAAGATCCAGTAGACAAGTCGCGCCAGCCAGTGAGAGGTACATCGCAACGGTACCTTACCAGAACATGGTCTGATCTCATCGATTGTTGAAGTGCAAGGATTCAAAATGATATAAGCCAGAGAGATGCTGCTCACTAAATGGCCAAGCCAAACACTAAGGAGGCTGTGGATAAAACCTTTCGCAAAATTAGAGTGATTAAAGAATCATAGATGGGCGAGACATTGTTAGAAATGCTCTATGCAATAATGGCAGGTATAAGGTCATTGTTTAATCGTGCCCGGTTTGTTCACATGAATCAGGACTACTCCGCCGTCAATTAATTCAGCAGCGATGACTCAACATTGGCAGAGGACGAAAGTCGGAGAACAGGATGGCTTCACTGTTGTGGCGCCACACCCCAAATGACCCCGCGAAGGAAGGCTTGTCTAAATACAAGGACTTCCAAGCTAGCAGACGAAAAAATATACTCGTCAAGGAAGCTGGTATGCTTAAACCAACAGTTTTGGGTGGAATGGGTACTCTAAACTATACTGGCTAGCTTGCGGAACGCGGCATGACCGTAGCGTTTCGGCGTTTGCCATGTGTCATCTTGAGCATGGCGATTGTGCCGGGTGAAGAATGTAAAAAGCGTACATGCTTGACAGTAGCAAAATGAAGAATGTTCCATAGAGTATTCCAGGCCAGACCTTTAGTTATGCTCTCATGGGAAACAAAACAATGACGCGTTACTTAGGAAACAGACCTCAATCCAAGGACACAGAGCTCAATCCAAGACATCCAGATGATTAAGCAATGCGCAGAAACATTGTTTGCCGAGTGTCTGAAGAGTCACGTATTTTAACTTACATTTGATGGCAAAGATGACGTGTACTATAGCGCATGCACGAAGATATCATGAAGCCAATGTTGACCTCCTTGTTTGAAGGAGCAAAGTATATTGTCACTTTTGTGGATGATTTCTTAAGATATGTTGTGATGTCTTAGATCACGAGCAAAAAGTGAACAGGCTAGCAAGTAAAAGGCTTTCATGGCTCGATTTCAAATTTTATTCGGCGAAACATTGTGACCTGACAATGAAGCAGAGCTTGTGAACAAGACAATAGCATACATTCGTCGTCGGAGTGATATCGTCCACCATCGTTTAGTTCCGTACAGCCCTAAACATGACGGATAGGGAAAGTTAATGAAATCCAATATTTCCAGCATGATATCACAAATAAAGTTTCGACTGAATGGTGACGGCAGCGGTGATAATAGTACTTTATGAATGATCGCTCGATGAGCTCATATCTAATCCAAACACGCGAGAACCCTCGACACACGTTAAATAACCGATAGACATACACCCGTAGCTCTTGGGTTCGAGCTTTGTTCTCTTCACATCGTCGATATAAGCGTAGCCCTGCGACTTTAAAATGCGTAAGTGACCCATCGAAAAGTCTTCATGGGAGCATACATATACTACGTGATTTTAGATTGCGAAGGTCAGGTGAAATGACCCGTTTGGCTAGGTCAGATGATTGTGAAGTATGCGGCTTCCATAACGGGCAAGCACTTTAACCAGAAACGACCATCAAAACTATAAAAGACAGTGATGAGGACAATGTTCAGAGCCGAGTAAATCGACAGCTGGACGTGAGCGAACCCATGGAGGCTGTTGACAACTCGTTGGAGACGTTGATATGGACGATGGTGGGCGTACACCAAGCATCGGCTCACAGCAGTTGATGCGCTTTGCTTAAACCCTACCATATAGGCGTGACGTATGGTGAGTGTTTGTGTATCCAGACCTCATGCTAGACAAGTACTTCTATTATATAGTTGTGATCCGACCTTACGAATGCTTATAATGCTTGGGGTGGGTTAGGTAGGAGACTATGTCAGCTTTCTGCCATATGTGACCTATGGATCATACCAATATACTTCGAGATTTGAGAGAGAAATTGACAATCAATTATCACAAATAGCATTTACTCGCGTATATCTTTCGCTCTTGCTCAGGTGATTTGCAAAATGCAAAACGATGAGCGCTATTTTATGTATGTATGAAATGCGGGGACATGAGAAAGCCGTGCATTGGATTTTAGATAATTAATAGTCGCGCTGGACACTTATCTTACAATGCGCATAATTGCATCAGCGAACACGACAGAAGCAAATCTGGACGCGCTTTAAAATCAGCTCTCCTACCAGGAGTATGTATAAAGCTACCAGTATATTTTTTGAGTCTGTTCGCTTCAACATGAGCTAAATGCTGGTCGAAGATATTTTTAATGAGGTTATAAGCCATTTCTAGGTGACGAGTACGCCCGAACCTGGCTCTTGCGTGCGTAGAGCAATTGCTCACCGTCTCAATTTTATGTAGCATAAGTAAAAAGATTTGCGATGAATTGTGTCATCTTATGAGAAGATCACCCTTTAAAGTGGGCTGGTGGTTTTAGCTTCCAATGTCAGAAACATCATGAGAGTTTTGTCCCGGCGCTAACTGAACATTTGTTTGAATCTGTTCGCTTCAGCATGAGTCGAAGATTTGGCGAAAGAAGTACTTTTTGTAAGCATTGCTAGGTGAAAAACATATGATGTTTATCCTTTTCTTACAATTCATCACAAATCATTTTACGTGTGCTGGAAAAAAATGAGATGATGAGCATGCCTTACGCACGTAAGCGCCAGGCCTGGTATCAACCCGGCGCTAGCTAAAAATTTGTTTGAATCTGCTCGCTTCAACATAAGTCGAAGTTCTTTTGGAGAAGAAGGTACTTTTCTGCAAGCCTTGCTAGGTGACGAGATATGATATTTATGACATTGATAATTCGACAGACTCAGAACAACAGAAATGTGCAGCACGATTACTTTGAAGAAAACTTCTTTTTTGGTCATACCACGTGGTACACCAAAACCAAAAACTGCATCCATGCGAACAAGCCATTCCGCCCAAAGTGTCATTGTCAAATTTGAGCTGCATGACCGGAATTTTGTGCTTTCCACCTTTCGCGCGCTTCTTCATGCTGCTGTCGGGATGTGCTTGGCTAGCAGGCGTCAGCTCTGGTACTTCACTGGTGGCCTCAGCTTTCAGCGATGAAAATCAGCTTTCCGAGTTCGTGCACGTCGCTGAAATTGCTCAAATCCATCGGAACCTGCGAGGACATATCAATTCGGCCATAATTGAAGCCAACGACACTAGCGAGGAACGAATGCAACCAAATAATGTCGTGGGTGAAGGGAAAGCACCCAGCGGAGCCCAGGAGACTGTCGCGCAAATTTTAGTTAAAGGGATGAATAAAGTCGCAGACTTTCTTAAAGATCTCACAAGAAGCCAGAAGTAAAACCCAAGGCCAAAAATGATTGATATTCAGAAATCAATTGAGCACTTGTAGTGTACTTCTGAAAAAGCCAGTTAAGCACCACAATGAATCCTTTCAGATTTTAACATTAAATACAAGACTTTCACAGTTGTAGAAGTTGCGCTCCTTTTGAAGTTTAATATATCTTCCAGATAAACCGGCGTGATCGATCATGTAGCTCCTCAATTTTGACCAAATATGCAACAGAAGTCTTGCATACTTCAGATTCGACTTTCACGTGTCCGAAAGCAGAGTCTGGCTCGCTCACGTTTAGCGAAGCTACAACGCTTAACTTAATTGTCTGTGCTTTGTGGTTTCCGAATGGACGTCATGGGTTGGATGAATCAACGAGATGAGAAATGAACTTACTAGCTTAATATTATTAATCAGGCATGATCAAAATTCTAAAGGATCCTGGTGATCATGGAATAATTACTTTCGTGAATTTCTGTTAGGAATGTAGGAATACTGATCTCTTATGATGACCTTTGAAAGAAAAATGGTAATTGAGGCTTTGGTCAAACATTAAATCTACAAACTCAATCTGAAGATACAATTGTTTAATTACCTGTCCTGCGAGCGGCGCAGCTCTCAACCAGTCTCGTATTTGTATCAGCACTAAAATCTAAACTCCCTGACGCGGTCCACAGATACGAGAATCGCTTGTGATGTTTCTATGGGTCAACGCTACGACGACCAGAGCTGGATAGACAGGACACCGTTGGGACCCTCTGGTCCTGTAGACCTTCAGCTTTTGTATGCATCGCTTACACTGGATGTAAAATCTCAACTATTTTAGCACTTGATCCGAAAAAATGTACTTGGGAGATGAATACAGCAATACGTTCAGATGCAAGAAGCATCGAGTGTCGCACTTATCCGTAAGTTGTGTTGGCACTACTGCAACAATAAGCGCATTAGTAACCAGTCGCGAAATTGCTTTGGATTGCTTACGTTCATCTATTCAGAGCAACAACTCCTTCACCCGCCTAATGCTTTGCACATTGTTTAAGTATCTTGTCTGAGTCGAAAAGTAATTTTTAGTTTGAAAGCCATTACACTACTCATGCGGCCTCGATCCTAAATAACTCTATGCTCACAACGGTATCTTTCGTTTGCTGTTCAAACCAATTCCTTCATAACATTTCAGCCATTGCTCATGTCGTTATATTCTATATTGATACGAATCGAGTATAAGAAAACCTTATTCGTTTTGCTGTGAGTCTATTATTGTCACACTTCTTAATAGCTTCCAATGTTTCTGGGTAAGCAAACACCTTACTAGAACGAAGCGTGATTGCTAGTCCATTCATCGTCTAGGACATATAAACGCAATCAGGTCTATTCATGTTTAAATGAGTCATGAAGACCGCTTGTGAGATGTACGCATAAGCTAATAAATACAAATGTTAGAATGTCAGCTCGATATCTCTGTCCAAAATATCGCAAATTCGCCTGCAGTAAACATCATTTTGAAGGTGGCAAAAAATCTGAGAAGTTTGATGCTGCCATTCTAAGAGTGGAGCTGCATGCTCGATCAGATATCTGATCGAGCATGCAGCAGCTTTTTAAAGCCTGTTTGATAGTCGTAGTGAAAGGCTTTGCATGCATCATGTATAAAATATATCAACTAGATTCTCGCAGCGCTAAAATACTGCCAGCGAGACGGCATTGTCGAAGAAGTTAATTGCAGTATTATAACCAAATTCATGCAGCTTCTTTATCTCATTTTTGAATTGCTGATGGACGATATGAGCATCATGTCGTGCCAGTTGGCTCAAAACCTGCCGACGAAAGCAAACTTGCAATTTAAAAGTATATTATGATGATAGTGTTCCAGAGATATTATCGAATTCTTTCACTGTTCCGATTTAAATATTTTTGACATTAGTTTTGGTTTAACATCCCATGACTACCTCAAAATTGTTTAGAAGCGTGGTGCATTGACCTCCACAACAAACGTCCAGCAGACATCGTGACTTATCGCTTTCGCCTGTGATGAGATGCGACACTTTTTAATAGCTTCTGAAAGTTTGCTTGAACAAGTGTACCTTCCAATGTCGTCGGCACGCTCTGGCAACACCAAAGTAGCGTATCTCATAACCATTCTTTAGACCACGAACAATGGATTACATGGAAACATAGCTATTGGGCGATTGAAATAGCATCGATTGCATACATCCACCGTATTGTTCTACTACCTTTCTAGTCCGTCGAACCAGTTTTGTGTAAGAGAGCGCCCCCTTTTGCAGTCACGACTATGTTGGTATTCTCGACGAAATTGTAGAAAAAGAGGTTCGTCAATTGCCTTCCAAAGTAGTGCTGTGTTCTTATTTCGGAACATTTATATGATTAGCAAAAAAGATGACATGCGCTAATATCTTCAGAACTGACTGTCAGTAGAAAAATGTTTGCCTGTTGAGTCTGGCTAGACACTAGAAAGGATTCAGAAGAAGAGTTTGTTGCGATATTGTGTGCAGATATAGATAGAAAAGCAAATTACAAAAGGTCAAACCCCCATGTCATGTGTTGTATCAGATCCGTGGTACTGTAATGTCCATATTGTCATTCGAGCACTATTTCAGTCGATCAAATAAAGTCGATGTTTCACAATACTTGAGATCTACAGCTTTGCGCATTTACATGCGGAGCAGAAGTGATGACATATTATGCTACTTTATATTCTTACAAATTGAAAATTTATCATTGCACTTTGTGGGAAGATTCCGAAGTCATGCTAAAATTTAGTTTTGGGGTGATATGCTTATCATTTCATGGAGTGTTCTCTGCTTGGATTTGCGATTGCCTTGACGTTGCGCAAACATCAATTCGCTGTCAATTCTCACTATCATACTATGTATCGCATAGTAAAGCATTGACAAGGTAGAAAAGGGATTGGAGTTCATCAGTGACCCTCCTTTTGCTCGTCTACCTTGGTTCGATCGTTGGTCGACAGTTGAAAGGGCTTGAAGATCATCAAGTGTTTGACTACAGCCTGCAACACAGCGATATATTTCTCGATCGGCCAAACCAGATCGCCCTGAGTCAGTGTTGCCAACTTTGTATACCTAAATTGTAATTTAGAGGCTGTTGGACTCTGAATAATTGTCAAGCATAACGCGGCTTGGACAGATAGTCGAACACGAACGTATGTCGCTTTAGACTAAGAAAAATGCATTTGGTTCAGCTTCCAAAAGGTGTGTCTTACAACTTACCTTTAAAAGCAAGCCAGGGCTCCATGCTCATTCTTCGTTTTGACATCACAAACGCAACCGAGATCTTAGTCACCCCGGAGCACCTACGGCAAAAATGAAAATCTCTATGTCCGTTTTCACCGGACTTGGTGCAGTTTTTCAGAACACGCATTTCGCTGAAGTTGTAGGCGACAATCTTGGTAATAATGGTTCTTCCACTTATGGCAGCGACTCACCCGTTGTTACACCCACGTTTGCTCCTGTGGTGAATGGCACTATCCCTAAAAGTGCTGGTTTGATCAACACATTGGCAGTAGAGCCTAACAATCCTAATGCTGATGCCACTATATTTCAAGCTCTGGAACCGCCCAACTACCTCGTCGAGCATACTGAAGCTATAATGGGCTTGTGTCCACCTCGATTCATCAACTCATCTTTTATAAGAAATCGCGCCATTCCTACCAACAATTGGTGGGGCAACATTATCGCACATGATTCCAATGCCGCCATTCAACCAATTTGGTCCAACCCGTACTCGTTGCAGATGCTAGTTGACAAAGCTCCATTCGGTATGTCCACAAGCTATCCGTATCGAAGCCGTTTTAGCGGTGGCAACTCTGGCAACAATGGAGCTGTTAAATTTTATGCGCACGGTCAAGTTCGTGAATTTCAATTTTCAGCCGAGGAGATTGTCAATCAGAAGCCCAATTTTCAAGTTGTGGATTGGGCCGACCAGGGAGTGACGGTGCAGTTTACTGCCGGATCCTACGGCGGCACAATGATGTCGGATTTGGTGTCTGGTATGGTGTACACTTCGATGAAGTACTCGAGTCTTACTCCTCGGCTTGAGTCAAGTGCCGCCATCTCCACCATTAATGGCCAACCTTGTGGTGGCCAAGTCCATGGATCAAAGTTTGAGATTGCTTACAACTCCGGTCAAAAGTGGATTGTGTACGTTCTGTCGAGCGACGGACTCAGTGACAAGGATATTACTTTCACAGCCGACGGTCCGTATGCTCTCAAAAGTACAGACATTTTTGACGGTATTCTGCGTGTCGCGCTGGTGCTTGAAGATTCCTGGTTATCGACACTAGATCAGCATAAGCTCTGCATTGTTCAATCTGCAGCAGTTGACCTTCACGACGACACCTCGTATGCTCTTAAGTGGAAGACGGCGGGTGACTGCTCAAGTGGCCTACTGCACTACGCTATGAAACACCACATTGAAACTATTGTAAGAACTGGCGGAATTCGCCAAGTCGATGGCATGATGGCCTACTCGACAACTCGTGGAGCGTATCAGGCTTTTGCAACTCCTGAAGGCTCTGCCAACCCTGTATGGGAAATTAAAGAGGTTCAACCAGTACCAGAAGACATCTACCCATCGCGCAAAATCATGTCAACCGTGGCACAGCAACAACGTATTGTTCATCATTTGCGCGAGGATATCAATGCCGAGTGGTCAATCCCTCGTGATGGCAGCTACTATTTCAATGGTAAGGCTGCACAAAAGTACGCTTCGCTCTGTTTGATTGCAAATGATCCAGTCATCGTTGGAGACGACAAAAGTCTTCTGACCTCATGTCTAAGTAAGCTTCGTGATGTGATGGCACCGTTTGTCGCTAATGATTGGGCTTACAAGCTTCAGTACGATCGAATCTACGGCGGAATCATAAGCAGTCAAGGATTTGTAACTAGGGACCTTAACTCCGACTTCGGCAACACCATGTACAATGATCACCACTTTCACTACGGCTACTGGGTGCACACGGCAGCGATCATCAATCGTCTGGACCCAAGCTGGAGCGACCTACCCAAGCTTAACACTATGGTCAACCTTTTGATTCGCGACGTCGCTAATTTTGACGCTAGCGACAAATTTTTCGCACGATTTCGCTCGTTCGACTGGTATCGAGGACACTCGTACTCGCACGGCGTAACCCCATTTGCTGACGGAAAAGACCAAGAGAGCACGTCTGAAGACGTCAACTTTTCCTTTGGCATGTACATGTATGGTAAGGCCACAAACAACGTCGCACTTGAAGCAGTCGGAAAGCTTATGACTCGTGTCAATGCGCACGCCATCAAAACATACTTTTTGATGGAGGACGCCAATCAGATTCACCCAGACAAATTTCGGCCCAACAAGGTGACAGGTATATTTTTCGATAACAAAGTGGACTATGCTACATGGTTCAGCGCTGAAAAACACTGCATTCATGGCATCCAAATGATTCCCGTGTCAGCTGTGACCGAATACGTGCGCACCAAGCAGTTTGTTAAAGAAGAGTGGGAGCAGGTGCTGGGCAAGGAGAGCATTGTGATGCGTAAGGACATGAGCAACTCGTGGCTTTCGCTGTTATACGCGAACTTTGCCATGGTGGATAAACAGCGGGCTCTGGATATCTTACAAAAGGCCAAAATGGATGATGGTCTGTCTCGATCGTGGGCGCTGTATATGGCCGCCAGCTTCGCCGAGTAAGCTGACTATCATAGAATCATTCGAAGGTTATAGGTCAGACCATATAATTTCATTTGCTACCAGCAGTTTTTTATACGTTCTTGAACATTTGGCAATCTATATACTCCATTTACCTTTTTTCAATGGTACTCCACTCAAGGCAAATTGATACAGGCAACTAGGAGTACTTTTCTGACATGTCTTGATACGTAGTTAGTCGCTCACTTTCTTACTCGCGCGAAAAATTCGAGTATTCCGTTTCAATCTTATCTTTTTTCAACGATACTCAAAGATGTGCTGTTTTTGTTACTAACTCATTTGATGAGCATGAATAGACAGCAAAAAATTATTACAAACGACGGTGAAAGCTCTTGGCGTTTTACCCTATGCAATTTGATCAATCTGGATAAAGGTTGTAGCATTTGGTGATCTTTGGAGCGGTATCTCATTCCAGTGACCTCTTTGAGCTCTTACACTTACATGATTGAAAAAGGAAGGTCAGTGGAGCTTAACTGCTACGGTTGTGTAAAATGATACGACAATATATTGCGAAGTGTCATGCCTCGTTACTATACTGAGACGATCTCATACGTACTTGGTTTGAACAAAACGAATTATCACATTCCAGCAGCCTCAAACTAAATCTTTCATTCGGGAGAGCCCTGCTCTTGTCATCATACAATATTTTTCTGTAGTGCTATTTGTGTAGTCCTCAACGCGTAGCGAGCACAGATATGACATCTTTTTCTGCTCCCTTGCACTCAGAGCTGAAGTTCAAATAAGCGTGTGCTCTTCGCTGTAACGATAGTGATTGTTCCCCTAGCTATTGTCGGCGTTGCTTAACATTGACTTGACTCAAGTGTCCTAGTGACACAGCTAATAATTCATTGATTCAATGGAGGGGTTTTATGTAACTCCATTGTTTACTATTGGCAATATGTGATTAGTCACATCACGACAGAACTCAAGCGGATGCAACCATGGACCTGGTAGATCGACAGTACAATATTCCCATCTCAATGTATTGCAATGCATAAAAAAATACGGCATTGACAATGCCATAGAAAGTTATTGTAGCGCGAAAATCAAATATTATCTTATGATATGTAGTGACCGAAGGGTTAATTACGTTGATGACGTGGTGTCACGGCAGCGTCGATTCGCTTGCTGCTACACAAGCGCTTGCTCTGGAAGCTGAAGTGTATTTTTAGCTTGGATAGACAAGAAATCAATGGTTTGTGGAACGGGACGCGTTGGTGAGAAAGCAATGTAGAAATATGCACGTCGGCTCCTATTGTCTTGAAGAACACTTTTCTACATGAAGTAGGTTGGAGTAGTAACGTGCGCTTAGTATTTTTTTGTGGATGTCATGCAAATTGGTGGGCGGCCATGCATGAATTAACCAGTGAAAAAAAATCTCGGTGCGTAGTGCCACAGTAATTCCATTGTATTGCACGCCTGAGCCGCCAGTTAGTCAAAATTAGGACTGTGAGAAGAGCAGATGAAAAGTAGCTGATTGCGTGTGTCTAGATTCAGGATACGTGATCAACTAATTTTTATCACAAATGACATTGTGCTAAAAGTTTTGTTTTCTTTGGTTTACAGGTTTACATGCAGGTTGAGGTTCTCTCCGATTTTTAATTGTCAAAATTATCAATCTGAATTCAGAAGAGGGTGCTGAAAGCGGCTTTGTATAGAAGATAGAAAAAACTGAAGTGAATATACTACAGATGGTCCTTCTGTGCTACCTCTAAGGATACTGATTATAAAGTGACTAATCTGGAAAAATTAGCGGCTATTGATCAATATGTATAAGCATGATAGTAACTGTGATCGTTACCGTAATTCTTGTCACGTCATCCACACGCTGTCAGTGGTGTAATCTCAACACTTCCACTTATTTTAAGTGTGCTTTGTCACTAACATGGTCTTAATACCACCTCCCGAGTGCCTTCGTAAGCGTATCTACAGGCTGATTCTTCGTATCGATGTAGTGATCTTTAGTAGTACAAGCTGAATGGTCAAACGAATGCAGTGGTGCCTGATGTCAACAAGCTTTGTAAGAGCATGAAATATTGCGTTACTCACCGAATTGTATCTCTTTGGTTGTTTTTTTCATATTCGCGTGACTCCTACTTGTTCGTAACCCATTTCATTTTCGTGTCGAAAGCACTTCTTGTTACATAGGCTAAATGCCAAATATTCGGCTTCTACGGAGCTCAGTGCGAAGGTTCACTGGTACTAAGACTCGAATACAACGGGATCGTTACCAGTATTGATCAAAACACCTGATATAGAGCGTCTGTCATCAGTGTTGCCGCCCGAGTCTGCTTCTTAAAAAAATTGATCACCACCATTCCAGTTCCGCAATGTAGATGACCCCGTGATGACGAGTAAAGTTCTAGTAGCATATTTACGAATTGCAGCGTCTCAATGGTGTAATCCGGGATTCTTGATATAATGATAACGACAATTGCGATGTTCGGACATGTGCACGTTGTACTATTCAGCAAACAGCTAATTAGAGAGCGCTATGATCGTGAGTGTATCTTCAAACGCCCAGCTTTGTACCTGGTGACAGTGACGTCGACAGTTTGAGACTGGATGCACACAGATTGTCGACGTCCTTGGTGCTTTTCTGGCCAAACCGCTCAACCACGCCGTCAATGTAGCCTATTAGTTTGATCATCAAGGTTGCCGCTATCCTTACATGGTCGATCTCACTGTTAAGACGAATATCACACTACCGAGATCTTTCATCTCAAAAACATTTTTTTACATCCCCTCGACATCTGAAAAACTTGCTGCTCGTCTTGGATCCAATGATCCTATCATCGACATACAAACATACGTACATCAACCCTTCTTTAGATATCTCCACGTAGACGCATTAATTTGCTCCACGTCTTCCAAAACCGCTCTTCTTGAAAACACGATCATTCGGTTGTTCCACGCAGTTAAAGCTTATTTGAGCCTATACAAGGCCCTTTTTGGCTGACAGGCAAAGCATTGAGCTCCCTTGACACCAAGCGAGATTTCCGTATAAACACGACTGAGCAGCACACTGTTTAGATATGCGGTGTCGACGACCAGCTGTTATATTTTGCAGCCAGATCTCGCACAAAACGCCAGTACAACTCGAATTGAATTCATACTGGCCACTGGAGCGTCAGTCTCAAATGAATCCAAGCTGTATCTCTATTTAAAATAGCCACTAATCGTGCCTTGCTTGTAACGCACCATACTGTTAATCTGATCCTTTTTTTAGCAAAGTCTGAGAGATATCCAGTCGTACGCTCAATAGACCCTCGTGAAACGAGCGTCCGTGTCTAGTTCTGGTCGTGTCAGCGTAATTCGTCGTCCATCGTCTCGCGCAACTATCTGACCTCGTCACTAGCCATTGCCTGCAAAAATGCAGCAAGCAAGCTTAATTCTTTACCAACTATCACCGCAGAAGTATGAATGACTTCGGCTACAAGGCCGTCTTCGTCAGTCCTTACACACTTTGGTGATGTTGGGCCGTCACTCCCTCCAAACTATCTCAGTCATCTGATCCGTTCTCCAACACCAACGTCGGTCCGCGCGCATATCTTTTGCGCTCAATCTGAGGTTGAGATACCAATTTGATTAACTACAACGTTTCAGCTGATGCTCGGTTGATCAATCAATCAAACTTTCTGTATATCTTGTGCTGGAGCTTTACTGTCGGCTCGAAGCGCACAAGAGGCGGTATTTGAAGCACTTCAACACACTGTCGGATTCCACGATCTCAATTTAAGCGTCTGGAACGTCTTCTTTAAGATCAGATGTGAAGAAATTCATAAGCATTTCTTTATATTCAATTTTCTCATCCTGATCTTGCTTGCATTTTATCGGCCCGGACGCTGTGCTTAAACGTTGTTCTTGGTCTTGTGTACTAACGTTTGGCTGGTTTGAGTCGTAAATGCCGCCCACCTCACGCACGTCCAGTCTCACCGACCGTGACAATAATACCTCGTTGCTATCCAGACCGTAGATGCGTTATTCCTTGGTGTCTTTGGCATTATCGAGAAGGACACACTTTCCGCTCTAACCTCGACCTTGGGCTTTTCACATGATCAAGGTGTGTCTCCTCTTAGAGCGAAAATAGACAAAGATGATTCATACAACGTTTCACTCAAATTCCAACTCATCTGGGGCAGTGTTTGTAAGCACTCTGCTTGGCGAATCATTGATCAGTTCCACTGAAGTGCTGCCCGCCTCTAGCCACAAACTGGGTCGGAGCACGTTTGTAGTGTAGCAAGCTCGGTGCCTTTTCCATGGTTATGCAGCTCATTTGCTCTGTCATTCCGTTCTGTATCGAGCTTTATGGTACCGCACGTCGGTGCACGATGCTGTTCCGCTGACATAAGCCCGTTACCGTCTTCTCGATGATCTCCATTCCGTTATCCGAGCGCAAGCACTTGACGCAGACTTCCCATCGATTTATGTGCAGTGCTCTGAACGTCTTGTTCTTTTCAGGAACTTCTCTCTTCTTCGTCAAAAAATATGCCACAACATATAGTGACAAAACATTCACGAACGCTAATATATTCCTGGTCCCTTCCTTTAAGGCGATTTTCATCGGTTCCAACAAGTCCATGTGCACTAAATTCAATATGCGTGACATATTCGATACAAAGCGTCTTGGGAATGCTTCAGTCGTCTGCTTGATCTTAAAGCAGCCAGACAGCCACCACACAAGTTTTTAAATCATTATTTCAGTGCATGCATACCGCTTGAGAATCGCAAAATCTCCACCAAAACATCCATGCTTGGATGTCCCATGCGAGCTGGCTAGATCTACTGCTGACTATCAGCTCCCGGTGATTGCGCCAAATGTGCCTCCTATTGCTGATAACCCAGCAAGTAAGCATTGCCGTTCTTTGTCCTGCCCTCGCACAATTCTTGTTCCAAATGATACACGGAGCGCACTGGAATTTCACACTTCATTAACGCTCGGCAACCTTTTGACTGACAGCAAATGTCTGTCAAGTCTTTGG